AATGCAGGTAGAGCACTTTGTGCTGAATTCTTTCATGATTTAACACTGCTAGATTTTGTTGGTTTTTTTTTTTTTTTAATGTGCTGTATAGAATATTTGCTACTACATACTTCATATTTTTATGTCTGTGAAAAACATGACACAACAACATTGTTTTGTTCTGTGACTCCACCTGAGAAAATGTCTCTGCCTCTTCCTGGCCCTGAGTAGGGCTGGTTGAAAGCACTGTCCCATGTCAGTTCTGAAAGCAGAGAAACTGGTCAGTGAGACAAGAGCTATGTACCATATGCTTAAGTCTATAGTGCATTTTCCAATGAATAAAACTTCATGTGGGAAGAAAGAGCCCCCAAAAAGCTTTGCTTACCAAAGCTATTTTCCCCAAGCTGTGCTTGCCACCTCACTTTACACTATCTTCTACCACCTCTGAAGTCTTTCTGTGGCCTGCTCAGTTCATTCTGCCACAATCTACTGAACATCGAATGAATGTTTCACAATCTGCAAAATTACATCAGTTATTTCCTAGCCATGTCCTTTGGCCTTGTCTAAACTGTTGCCGTTCCAGCTGACTTCCTTGTATTATAACTCTTCTGTCACAGCCACATTAAAGACTGTTAATGCAGACAATGTTTTTCCTTGAAAGGCATTATTAAACTTAGCAAAAGAAGAGCTAGCTGTTCACTGACAAGTTTCTCTGGGCTGTTTTACACTGCACTCTTCCATTTCCTTATGCTTTTCTCCTTAATACCAGTAATAGATAGGATTTGTGGGTGCCCTCCATTTCTTGTCCACTCAGCCCAGCTATTTCAGGTATGATGCCTGTCACTGTACAAATTGCCATTACCTCTGCAGGTTATCCACTTTCCCAGCCTTGATATGGGCCTAGTGACAGGGACTGTCTCCCAGGAGGCTGGTAGAGGTTCTCTCCTCCTCCAGAGAGCAGCCCTTCCTCATACTTATTCAGTGGGACACAGGCAACGCACTCAGTATCTTTTTCCTTACCAGGGTGCACCAATATATCTGTCTGAGCTGATGGGTGGGTCACATCTGCTGTATTCTTCTATTCCTCTGTAGCAACACTCTTGGTTGCTTTGTTCCACTCGCTTCTAAATGTTGGGGTAAGATTACAACTTAGTGTTTAAATGTGATTATAGCATAAAGTCAAGCCCTTCAACTTACAAAACCAGAAATAAGGTTGTTTATACTTGTGCATAATACTACATTATTCTAATTCTGTGGTCCCCAATTCCGTGGTTACTACTGGCTTTTACCACATCCAGTATACAAGTATGAAGTAATAAATTTATTTTTATGCAGCACTGACCTGATACCTCAACAAGGCAAAGATACAAATAGAGCATAAGCATCTCTCTATCCTTCTGACCTGGTGTGAATACCAGGGAATGGTACTGTACTTTTGGATATAGTACAGGCAAAAAAGAAGAGTAAATGTGGCATGTAAGATTAATGCCCAAAATATTACACAAGCATAAACAAAACTTTGCTCTAATGAGGGGAAAATGAAGTACAGATGAAAAAAAGATAAACTTTTAAGCTCACAGAAATAACAGAACTGGGTTAGAACACAAACTTATTCATGATTTCCTCCTTTAAATTATATCCCCACTTCATAATCACCTTCCGTAGCTTCACTTATCTCATACAGTGGGAAATTATAAAATAACATCTTTCAGCTGTGCTTCATTAACTTAGAATCCAGGCTGAGCTATTGCAAAGGAAAGAGCTCAGATGCAATTCTTTCTTCTCCAGGCAGTGACATCTACTAAAAGTGAAATTTCTGGAATTGCAACAGGATAAAAGCAGTCTGGTCAGGACAAGGTCTGTAAACCTAGTTTTCAGCTGTCTGCATTCTTCCCCTCCTGTTTGTCATCAGTCACCATGTAAGCAAATGGACACAGATCCTATAGCTGAAGATTGAAGGTCACTTACTGATGGCCTTGACAAATTCAGACTCTCTAAAATGTTTTTTTTTCTTGTAATAACCTCAGTTTGGACTCTGTAAAGGGCAACTGCAGTTTATACTGATCACCATGAGAAGGTTAAAGAAGTTAAACAATGTTATTTGCTCCTCATCTCTCTTGGGGGCAAGAGCCATTTATACAATTTTATGCAACATTTTCAAGGCATTAAATATTGTCATCCTTCCAAGGAATGCTACACTGCGTATACAAATAGAAAACCTCATGCCTCTTGAGTCATTTTCCTCTTAATCTCAAATAGCTTCTCATGACCCAAACAGGATTTCTCACGTGGCTTTACCCCATAAATTGCAGTCTGCATGCTACTGTTCTGTATGGTTGCCAGGTAGAGATCAAACAGAAAGTACACTTTAGGTCATCCCATCTCTACAGTCTGTTTTTTAGCACTACTTCCTTCTGAACAGATAAGAAAAATGGAAATAAAAGATGTTGTATCAAGAACTCTTTAGACAAAGATTCATTTTGGCTGTCCAATTCAGCATTTACAAGGGTCAGGCTTCAGTACAATTTTAAGTAGAACTAATAGTTTTCCAGTACCATTCCTACCACTGATTTCTCAAAACCTCACCACTAGAGCTTGCTTGTCCATTTTAGAATCAAAGACCAATTGGTTATTACACTGAAAAGTTTGTATGTAATCCACTGAAGACATACAGATTCAAAAAATGAAAAGTAAAAAGTTCAGTTATTTTCTTAGAACTCAGTGTCAGTTTTACAGAACTGGTACTAAATGACATGGAGTCTTTGTTTTGGCAAAGTAAGAGAATCTGGTCATAATATTTATCAACAAAGAGCCTGTATAAGCAAGATGATCTGTTCAAGAACTTCTGGTGTTCCACAGGCTACTTGTTGGTAGATGGACTGACTGAAGGACTGAAAGTACCAAATATGTAACACAGACCTTTTCCCTAACACAGATAAGTCTTACAACTTATAAAAAGGAACACTTCTGCTACCACACCTTTCACAAACAGAATAGTGGTTAGAGAACTTGCTTTTCTCATACCAGAGTTCGATTTTAGCTTAAGGCAACCAATGTAAAATGAGCTCTAGCGGGATTAATCAAGCTCCTTCTAGATTAATTTACATCCTTCTTTTCTAGAACACCAAATTAGACCACATTACTTGCATGATTCTTCTTTAGAAGTTGCTGGCAGAAGAAAAAAAAAGCATGTGACAGTCCAGCAATGGATGTTTGCTGGGTCACTTACATGGCTTCTGTACATCATGCAGGACTCGATAAAAATACTAAGAGTTTGCTCATTACACAGTGACTTCATAAACACCATAAACTGATTTATATTCCTTTGATCCTCTGTGAGAATTTTAAGTCATGCAGCTTCACCAGAGCAGACCTTTGCCATTTTCACATTTATCAAACTAAATTATAATGAGAACTGGGGGGGAGGGGGGGAATGGGGGGTGTTGCAATGAAGATATAATAGAATCACAGAACCATAGAATCAGCTAGGTTGGAAAAGAACTTTAAGACCATCAAGTCCAACCATCACCCCAGGACTGCCAAGTCCACCACTAAATGATATCACTGAGGGCCTCATCTACATGGTTTTTGAACACTTCCAGGGATGGTGATTCCACCACTCCCCTGGGCAACCTGTTCCAATGCCTGACGACCCTTTTGGTGAAGAAATTGTTCCTAATATCCAACCTAACCTCCCTGGCACAGCTTGAGGCCATTACCTCTTGTCCTATCACTTGCAACCTGGTAGAAGAGACTGCCCCCACCTCACTACATCCTCCTTTCAGGCAGTTGTAGAGAGCGGTAAGATTCCCCTGAGCCTTCTCTTCTCCAGACAAAACAACCCCAGTTCCCTCAGCTGTTCCTCATCACACTTGTGCTCCAGGCCCTTCACCAGATTCATTGCCCTTCTTTGGACCTAATCCACCACCTCAATGTCTCTCTTGCAGTGAGGGGCCCAGAACTGAACATAGGATTCAGTGTGGCCTCACCAGTGACGAGTACCAGGGCATGCACTGCACTGGCCCTGCTGCCGCACAGGCGCTGATACAGGCCAGAATGCCATCAGCCTTCTTGGCTGCCTGGGCACAAGCTGGCTCTGCCCATCAGCACCCAGGTCCTTTATCCACCAAGCAACGTTCTAGCCACTCTTCCCCAAGCCTGGAGCGTTGCATGGGGGTGTTGTGGCCCAAGAAAATAATTAGCTTTTTAGTTGGCTTCCTGGATCTCCAGTTTTCAAGGGAATTTCAGCAATACATGGAAAGAGATTTCAGATTCAAAGCCAGCTCTGAGAGGATCCCTGTGCTTCCTGTCTAACAGAACTATGGACTTCAGAAAGCTACCTGGGACCTTCACACCCTAGGTGCTTAACAGTGAGCCTGACTTAATTTCAGACAGGGCTTTCTGGATGCCCAACCTCTGCACTGCAGGATTGCTTTCAGCCTCCCAGCACAGGAGTCTAGAACACAGTAGTGCTCCTATTAAGTTGTTGATGAAACAAGCTTGTCAATGCGAAGCAAAATGTTAACATACTAAAAAAGGGAAGAAATAATTTAAAAATCTAATTATTGTCACAGGTGTATTATTTTGAATTTTTTCAAAAGAACACTTCTGTGATTTACAAACTACAGGTTAAATACTTGTTTCATGTCTTACATTTTGTAACAGTGAAATAAGGCTGTAATAGATTCTATTTTGTGGTCACTGATGCTGGAAAGACAATGGTGACAAATTATGTCAAAGTTATTCTAAGGAGTCACCTGACATCATTCATATTTTCTTAAACGTCACTGAGCAAATTCAGAAAATGTTTTCAAAACTCAGCCACCTGAAGTCCATCCAAAAGATCCTGTTCCTACCATAAGCTCTTCGTTCCTACTGCTTAAGTATGAGCATCACCTATGTATTTCTGCTGTTTACATCCAAGAAGTTACATTGAATCCTCTCAGATAAAGGTGAGGAATTCAGCATTAACACTGTGCTGCAACAAAGCAAGAGGCAAAAATCAACTGCTATCACCCAAGTACAAACAGTATTTATCTTTTATTATGATGTCATGATTTTTGAAGTTGCAACAAATACCACTTCAGGGTCATCATCCCTCAAAGGAGAGACATTCCAGTCCAGAATCTCTGCAATCTCATCCTGTGGCAACATGATACGTCTTACTGCCTGCTGCACAACATTCAGTGCTTAGAGGTCAGAGTCAATGTAGAGGATACTCTGAAGATTTGTGGAAGCATATTACTCAGTTGGTAAAACATTTCCTCAGAAATTGTCTGGAAAACAATATTAAAAAAAACACACCAGTAAGCTTTGGCATTTTTGCTGTAGTTTGGAAGAATTATGTCTCTTTGGTTTTTGATACTTAAGAGATTTGCTGTTTTTCAGAAGACTATAATTGTGTGTTATGTGTTATAATTCTATTTAATTCAATCAAAAGGAAAACACTGACCTACAAATACTGTTTATGTATTTCTGGGATATACCTGTTTCCAGTAGATTTCTTGTTCCAGTAATTGATTATTTCTGCCCAGCATAAGCAGGACAGTGCTGTTTATTATCTACAGGACTCCTGCTCTCTGAATTCCAGGATTAGATTCAACTTCAGTACTTAAGTTTATTCTTGGCTTCCTCCCTGCTCAACAGTTTACTACTTCATCAAGAAATACATGCTATTTCTTTCCTAATATAATTGATTTTTATACTGCAATACTACTTTCTAGAACAAATACAAGTTGGTGCTGGCCACCTTCGGAAAACTTCCTGTTTCTGAAGATCAGCCAGAACATCAAATTAAATCAATTCAGAATCTTAATTTCAACTGCCTTCAAAAACCTGGAGTTAACAATGACTTCGGGGAAGCCTGAGTGAACTCGGTGCACTGCAGCTTTCCAAGGCAGTAAGACTAACAAACACCTAAACTTACCTAATGCAAGTTAGTTTAGCCATCTCTTCAGAGTAAATAACAGCAAAAAGATATCTTTTTCAAAGGTGATATATTCATGATTTATAAAGGTGAACTTCCCAGTTTGAAAATTTAACATCCTTAGAAGATACTATAAGATATCAAAAAACATGAATCCCTCTTATTCTTGTTTTACTGGCAAGGAATCAAACCCATAGTGGTTAATATAAGCTCACAGAAAAAGAGCAGGGGATAGCAAAGAAATCAAAACTAGATCTGCTGAAATTTAACAACTTCTGCCAACAATCTCCTAGGTTGGTTAGGAACTTGATTTAACCTACCTGTGGTACCAAGAACTGTACAGTCCGAGAAATTCCTCCATCCCATGAGGCCATTTCCATCATGAAACCTATAAAACAATATTCATACTATGTGCAGTCTTTCCCATCAATTACACCATTATCAAGCCATGAGGGATTTTTCACATATAATTCACATATAATTAGGATTTTTACTGCCTTAACTGGGGATGTCATTAATTGCACTTAAATGAGACTTAGCCAATCTCCTGACTGAAATCTGCTTTAACTGGAAAATCTAATGAGGAATTATGGAGAAAATCAATATACCCTTGAAGACCAGAATAACCAGTCCTATGTATAGCACAGTACTAGCCAGAAGAAGTGTGAGGTTTCTCCAAATATGTGTGTTATGAGTTCTTTCAATGACTTGCTTTCACTAAGAAATAGCACTTCCTTTAGCTCTGATGTGACCATATCCACGTTAATAAATACAAGCTTGCTGCCAAAAGTACACTGGCAATCTGGCAGCAACAGAGATTATCTGGACCTACTTATATGGAAAAAGCTCAGCACTCATTTACTGATCAAATTATAATATGGCATTTTTGTGCTAGTATGAATTACAAAGTCCAAAGGAACAAACTCATGGCAAATAGGTATACTTAGAAAAATACCTGATTAATGAAAATAGTTATATGGATGATATTCCATTGTGAATTACTAAAGGTCACAATAGGAAGAGGTTCCTCAAGTAGGTGTAGAAAGAACATTAACACTATTAACATTTTAAATACTCTAAATGACTCAAGTATTTAAGTGCAGCACACAGAATGCAGCAAGTACTAAGATCACTTGGAAAGGCAGGAAACCAAGTTGAGTCACAGGGACTTTTCAGCACTGAGATGAATTAGCCTATAGAATAGTCTTGGAAAAATGCAGGGAGTCCTCATTGATAGAGGCAATCAAAATACAAAAGCCATTGGAAATTATACTGCAGAGAATCACCAGCTTTTGCACTCCTTTAGAGACTGCTCAAAGCAGCAGTAAAGGATTTTTCTTCTACTGTCTGTGTTTAAGTTGCAGATATTTTCACATTTTTAGTCTTTAAGTGTCCGAGACTGCTTCCTCGTATGACAGCTAATAATTTTAAGAGAAAATTATTTATTGTTTTAACAATCAGTAATTATTGAAAATCACTTTTTAATGAAAATACTCAGCCTCAGCTAAGGCTGGATGTCACCAAATGAAGCATAGACAAAAAAAAAACAACCAAAACAGCGTGAAGCATTCACTAACATACCTTTTACGCACTTGAACACAAGCTCTGCCCTCTTCAAGCACCATGGAATAGTCATTTCCTAAAAATTAATAAATGAAAAGCCACAGTGCTCAATGGATCTAACCAACATGAGTAGCAGTGAAGACAATAAAATAACACATTTTTGCCATAGAACCCCATTTTTCCCAGCAGGTATTCAAGCACCATTACAAGCCATGAAGAGGCCTATATATCTTATAGGTGACCATAAAAGCACTGCCACTGCCTACTGGTAGGAGAGCCCAGTGTCAGAACAATCTATATGTTTTTTTAAGCTGAGATGTTGAAGAAAAATACTGTTCATAATACTGATTGAAATAACCTTATTTCCAATCAAATAACATGATTGGAAATAAGGTTATTTAATTCCCCTATGGGGCTTCAGAAAACTGTGTAACATCCAATGGATAATTGTCAGATTTATGCCTCAGCCAGCCAAAGACAGATTCCTGACCACACCTTAGCGGAAGTAACTGATAATTCCTAGCTCTTCTTGATGACTGTTTAAGGTTTACTGGCATACCTGCTAACTTCAGCAAAAAACTCCTCTCTAATAGCAGAACTGGAAGAAGCCCTTCACCCCTAAAGATACATTAATGTGAAGACTCAAACTAAACAGAATTCATCTTCATCACATGGTGGAGTTTCAGATATAAACAGACAGCAAATACTTACCTAAGTTAAATACCAAGATGGGATATGAAAACCACAGTGCTTTAAGATACCTTAAGATATGAGTACAAGCACTGGTCTAAATAATTTAAGTAATAATTTAAATGCTTTAGTTTATTAAAACATTCTTTATCTGAATGTTACAAAGGCAATTATATTAAGATAAATATTGCTAAGCAGAGAAAGTCAGTGTAAATGCTTCACAATGAAAGAATGCTTCTGTTTGTTCTGATGTACTCTTCAACATGAAAAGGAGCACTTGCTAGTCTGAATACAGGAACACAGACGTGGAAACAAAAGTAACATTCTATGCACCTTTTCAAATTTAAGCCTTACATAATTTTCCATTCAGTAGAGCCAGCCTTTATTTTGCAGTCTGCCATTATCAAAGAGGTTAATTTCAGGATTAAAAAGTTATTTGAGAAGCAAGATTATCGAGGAATGCCAACCGATGACCCCCAAACAGTACACTGAACGTGGCTGCACTAAACTCTGAAAGACAAAGTTCCTACTTAGATGGGACAGCCTCTTGCACTACCTATGTTAAAACCAGCATAAAGTAGAAATATCTTTCCAGAAATCTTGCTTTTATTATGTAAATCACTGCATCAGTAGCTGATGTTTTTAGGGTATACAACAGAGTAATCACACAAATGTTGCTGGACAACATTTTTTTTTCCCTTCATTTCTAAGCTTTCTGAAGAAATACTTGACCCTTGGTCTTTCCTATAACTTATGTGCCTATGTGTCGTAAGTAATGTAGGCATTCCTTGTTAGTTCTGATCACTGTTTTGGCTTAGATAAAAAAAAACCTGTCTAAAAAGAAAGGTCCTGCTGCTCTGAAGGCAACTCAGAAGTACCTTCCGTAATCAGTAAAGGGAACTAAGCCTTTAAAGGACTGATTGAAACAGCAGGATATGACATTATCCCTTGGACTATTTCAGAGGAACATAAGTCTTGTGGGCACTTATGGAAATAACAGGTTGAATACAGAATGACACTCCATGCAAGCCACAAGAACTGAAAATGACACAGTAGTGATTCAATTCTAATCCATCTTTAAAAACCTAAGTTCTCAGGGTTTTGCCACACTGTCAGGATTCTTCTCTAGACGCAAACTAAGTAACAGTTGTGGAAATGATAAAGCGTCAGTTACATACCAATTCAACATACAATGCAGGAGATGGGGGGGAAGGTGGGGGGAACAAACACCCCATCTCCTAAAGTGAGTTTTGGTTAATAACATTCAAGCAAGTAAAAAAAACAAGAACACCTGGGCCTCCTGGGTTTGTTCACTAGCAGAAACCACATCACTCCTTAGCATGCAATGATTTTCTATCAGATTTCTTCTACTTAATAAAAAACAAACAAAAAAAAGGGGCCGGAAGAGGAAGAGGGAAAGCTTCACCAACCTGGAAGATGTGCTGCAAACCTTCTGATTCAAACAAATTTATGACAGACTTACTACATGGCGTTGCCACTTTTACTAAGCTAAGGGTTTCATGCCTTTGCGGATCACATCATAACCAAGTAATGAAAATGTTGAAGTCCATAAATGCCATGTGGGATGAAGATTTCAAACCAAATGTCAATGTTTAATTTAATAAGTTAAGAATTAGCAAGATGTTTATTCAAAGTACATCCATGCAAATCCTATATAAGCAGCTATACAGTTAAAGGCAGGAAACTCGGACAAGTATTTGATGTTAATACACCCATCAATCATTTCTTTATATACATAAACCATGTTCATAAATATTTAACAGTTATACTTCCTTAATTTGTACTTTTTTTCCCCCAGACATTTTTGTTATCGTAATAAAGACATGTTTCTCACAGTGCTGCTGTGAGGACAACAGCAACAGCTCCTATGTTGAAACTACTAAAGAAGTGTGCCAGCTCTAGCATGGCATTGCTAAAAATGCTATGAGAGCCATTTTATTCTCAGTTTATGTATCAGTTTATATCGGGTTCAGAACAGTGAGCAGACAGTAACATCCCATTTGCCTGAATTTGAACTTGTCTGCTTTTGCCTTTGTCAAGTATCAAACCCAGTTTCTTTCCTTCATTTAACTTAATGATCAGAACAGATTAATTTGATTTTGTTGCTCTCATTGTAAGAAAAACTAAGGAAAACAGAATTCCTTTTTTTTTTCTTCATAGAAATAACAAAATCTAATGACTTCATTACTTCTGTGAGGTTATAAACGCTATGGTTCCATCCATAAAAGAAGAAAACCTCTGGGAAAAGCACAAAGAGAACTCATGATGAATGCCTGTCACAGTGAAGCATGCAAACATCTCTGCAGCTGTGCTCCTGGTAAACCACTTTACAAAAATGTTTTCATGTAGGTGGTAAACACAGATTCAAAACCAGGGCTGCTGAAGGCATCAAGTTCAGGTTAACTTTCAGAAATCTGTTATTATTCACTTTTCCCTCAACAATATGTTACATATGTGTGTTTCAAATTAGGTCAGCCAGCTGCAAAGCACTGTAATAAGCAATGCTGCTAATACATTTCACACAGTACAGTTTTGGCTAAGCATACACTTACAATACAGATCACTTTCTCCTTACTCTGTAAAGACTTAAAACTTAATATAAAAGGTAAACTGTTTTGCCAGGACCCTTCAAGAATCCAGCACTAGGCATGAAGCTAATTCCTCAGTTTCACACATCCAAGTAACAAAACACTCCCAAAGTACACTGAACAGGTGGTGTTGTGCTTTATTTGCACATTAAAATACAGCTATGCAAATGAAAGCTAAAACTAACCAGATTTAAAGAAAAGAAAAAAAAGATAAGAATATAGTCAGATGGCAACACAATTAAGAAAAAAGGTGAATAAATTTATGAAACACAGTAACTGGGTCCCATGAGTAACCCAGGCTGCCATCCTGCAAGTTGATTATTTGCATTCCTGCCCCCTCAAAGAGTCTTGATATGACTTCAGAGATGAAAATTTCAGAAATAGTATCATCAGTTCCTAAAAGTCTACTTTTATGTATGGAAGTATATCCTTCAGAAGCTTCATAATTGGACATTTTTAACTTTTGCACTGCTTGTACTGTCACATTAATAGATCCTGAAAAGATCTTGCAAAAGGGGGCCACTTTTACACTGCGTTCGAATCAAATTCCCCTATAAAAAAAGTCACTGTTAAGGGTAATCCTTTATGGTGATCCTTTATTTTGCTGTGAGCCAGGCACTTTCAAAGAAGGAAAGGCAGTACTGAAATTTATAACTGGAAAAAATCAAAGGGTTACTTAAGAAAAACCCACAAGAGACTATAATTACACATACAAGGTTACAGTAATGGCAGTATTATCCTATTTTTCTCATTTTTTTAAGTTCATAGACTTTCCACCTCCTGAGGAGGTGAGGCATATGGCTGCAGTGTTTGTCTACTGCTTCTCACCCTGCCTCTCCATCCCCTTCCCATCTCTGCTAGTATCTTGTGAGCCACATGACAGTGCAGAGACTGTCAATGGTATTAATGTAATATGCACTGTTCAAAGTTACAGTTAAGTAAGAGACACTTATGTTGTACATTAGTGTCCGCTGAAGAAGTGAATACGAAAGGTCATCACAACAAGGAAGCACACTCGTATCCACAAAAAGCGTTAACAATATGCTGCTTCTTGCCCAGCTGATGTTTGGGGGACTTAAAAGAGGAAGCAGGGCCAGAAATTAAGGATGCAAGTGATTAGGCAGTGAAGACCACAGTTCAGAGCAAAGGTGAAATTCGACTGCTGCTGCGTAAGGCTCAGATGGTAAAGAGTGCTATTTAGGGATACTAGAACTCTAAGCCCAGCTTTGCTAGTTCTGTTTCTCATAAAACTTAGTTTTAAGGGATTCTAGCTAGCAACAATTAAAACTGGGGAGCTGGTATCACTACTGCATCAAAGACTCTGGAGGTACACTTTCTAAGCAAGAGATGTTGCCAGGAAACTTCTAGTAGTCCCATCCTTCAATAGTACTAGTACAAGTGTGCAATGAGCTGGACCAAGAAAGCAAAGTGTCCAAAATGAGGGGTGGGAATAAAAAGCCAAAGTCATTCAGCTGGCTGAAGTGCTTGTAACTGGTTCAGTTCTTAATTTGGGTCACCATATAAAATGAGTGTCAACATAATGATGTGGCAGGAGTATGTGACTGGCATAAACTGTCCCATGTGGCTTAAACTGGCATGAAACATACCCTTTTCAAAAATCACTTTTGTTGCATCCTAAAAGATAAAGCCAAGTTAAATCCTTATATTTACTTACTTCTGACATATCATGCACCAAAAGGAGAGGAATACTAATGGTAGTAATGTCGTGTGTGCAGCAGACTTTGAGAATGTTTCTGAGTCCCATGATTGCAGGATCCCGAGCAGTTACGTTACTGGATCTTACATTATCATCCACACAGAGGTGAAAAGCAACATGAATTTCAGAAAGGTTTGAATGGCGTGTGATGTAGAATTCTCCTGCAGAATAATACAAACCAGGAAAGCAAGATGATATGGTAGTGATCTATACTGAAATACAATTGTTAGACAATGTATGGATAGGGTCAGTTAAGACAAAAGGCAAATGCAAACACATAACAGAGATCATAACACATAAATAAGGAAATTAAAAAAGTTAGAAACCCACTGATCTAAAAATCTCCTGGAATATCATTGTTCTATAACATATCCTACACTCACTTTCCTGCTTTGATAGATTTCACTGGCATCACAGACACCTGGTGTAATAAGACATAACAGTGCCAGTACAGGCGGATATGATCTATATATAGTATGAAACAGAAAAACAAACACAGAGGAGGTGTAATACTCAAAATATATAATGTAAGTACTGAATTGCAGACAGATGTGGGAGGCGGAAACACCAAAAAAGGATGGGTTAAAATAAAGGATGCAAAAACCCTGCAGAAAAAGATAGTAGGTTATATAACATCTGAGATATGTCCTAGAAGACAAAGGTATCAGTGACCATTAGAATTCAAAGTAATTCATAGGAATGGGAGGATTAGTTAGACTTGTTTCAAAAAAGTTACCAAGATATCTCACTGGGGTATTTTTACACTTGGTATTCATTTACCACAGGCAGAGAAAGAGTAAGGGGAGGTGAAATGCAGGTCACTATCTTACCCTTCTGCTAGAGATCGAAAAAGTAAGTATACAATACCCCTACTGTTTCAGTCAACAGATAAACATCTTTCTTCAAACCTATTCTCACTGGTCATTTAAGATACTGCCTTTGTATTGGGACAGCTGAAGACAGCTATGTACTCCTTTCTGACAATAGCTAAGGAGGTAGTAATCCCCAGCAATGACCCATCTAAAAGTAGAAATACACAAGCCACTACAGCAATAGTCACCCTAGTTTACCTGTTAAGGACCCAAGTTGATGTATAATCCATTTATATCAAGAAGATCCAAAACAATCATGAAAGCAATTTTAAGCCCTCTTAATCAATCTTGAGTTGTATGGATTTAACTCCTTCCCCCCTCCCAACTGTGTATTCATATTCAAATGCCACAGAAACTTTCCTTAATAAAAATTACAGTATATACAGAAGACACTTTGTCTGCGAGGAATGGATTCATACTTCTCAAGGTTCAAAAAATACATTCTAAAATGTTTTGCTCTATCACAACAGTGACATATATATAATTATTTAAAAAAGTCACATGATGCAGTGGCAAAGCTGGGAATAGAAACCAGATGTCCTGACACCCAGTTCTCTGCCTTAGCCACAAGAACATCCTTCTCCTCTAATTGAGGTCAACTTGGGTTTAGTTTATAATTTATGTTCTGACTTTAGAGCTAAAAATGGGCATCTATAAAACATGATTTGCTTTAAGAAGAGGGGGGAAATGCAACAGAACTCACCCGGCAAAATGTTTGACTGGTTTCGTTCTATATTCTTTAATTTATCTTCACTTCCACTACTTTTGTTTTCTGTATATAAATATATAGCACAAATATTAAACATATCTATTAGTTACGTTCTGCCATGAAAGTTTGACGTACTAAGATAATATCTGGCTTGAATTTTTACTATAAAGTTACCGTAAAGTCCCCCAAAAGCAGGGAGAAGGACAGGAAGTGGTTTTGATGTCTTCAGTAGGCACTGAATTGTATCTTATCTCAAACCATAAGCTTTCTTACTTAATCATCCTACAATACCTCTTCATTTGGACAAAGGAAAACACAGTATTCTCAGACATAAGACTAAACTTTCCAAATTGTCCCACAACTGCATAGTACCTTGCTATTGCTTTTGAAATAACATAACTAAAGCAAATTCGTTCCTAGTATTACAAGAAATAAATTTAAAGATATTTACATAAATTAGCAATATAAAACCAGCTTTCAGTATTTTGCTCAAGACTACACCAATATGAAGGTTCCAAAGAAAACTTGTTTTTCTCTATGTACTCTTACAAATCTATTCATGTTACTGATGTATTTAAATCAAATAAGTAGTTCTCTGCAAGAAAAAACAAAAGTTTCATGATGTACAAGTACTGATCATGGTCAGAAAATTTCACAGCCATTTGTAAAAGCAACAGGTTACTTGTAAAGTAACCTGTTCACAAGGATTTGGTCAGCACTAAAAAAATATACACATTTAGTCAAATTATTATTCAGTTTTCAGCACTCACTTTCAACGAAGGGAAAGAAGTCATAAATCTCTTCTACAATTTTATTTCTATTTAAATGTAAAGTCAGATAAAGTCTCTGTTGCTGCAGGCAGTTTAAACGGCAGATGACAGCACAATGTCCTGTCCCTATCACTTCCCATGCTGTTAGAGCACATGATCAGAACCTAAGGATTTACACTTGTTTTTTTGGTAGGGTATTTCTGTTATGGCAGCAAAAGACACCATGTGAACATGGTGTCTGTGAAGACAATCTCATGCAGACTTCTCAGAGTTTATCAATAAACTTGAACATTCCATTTCCATTATTTTCAGATAAGGTAACTGAAAAAAAGGGAAATCAGCTTGCCCGGAACATAAACATTCAGCTGACCGCTATTCTATTTCAAGGAAAGTAATTGTGGTTGTTACTGACCATGATGTCTTTTCGACTTACTGCTACGCTGTGCTCTGGCCTTAAGTACAACCTTCTGGACAATTTCAAGCTGTTCTTGAATTCCAGGAAAATGGAAATCTGTGCATTCTTGGCAAACAGTTGCAAAATCTAGGAAAAAAGTAAGATTAAAATCCACGTCATAAGGCTGTGCTTAGTAACATTACATAATCCTGCTCTCCTGTTCAAGCAAGGCCAGCTACAAAGACAACCCCCTCCAAAACCAGAAGCAGCCCTGCTATACTCCTCTTTAAATTCTAAAAATATATATGTCAGAGACAAAACATTTTTTGAAAGAAATTAATTGCTTTGGGAAGCAAACAAAGCCAATCACGAAAAACAACTCCGCACCAAACATACGCACACCAAAATCCCAAGAACAGTTGCATGAGTGTTATTGCTATTCAAACAAAATCACCCAAACAAAAAAAAAAAAACAATCCCAAAACACCAGCAATAATATGTACTTATTATGCGCATTAAATGTAACTGTGCTGTAAATATGATGCCTTATTACTAGGAGTCCTTCAATCTGTGGTAGTTTATTAAAAGATACATAATAGATACTTCCAACAGCAACAACAGCATTCCAAGTGCTTTTTGAAAAGCGAGAGCTATTAACAAAGTTCATAAACAGTGTATCTGGAAAGCTGAAATTACAGTTCTTTCATTTTAGTTCTCAAAACACTGATCTGAAAGCTGAAGAAAAGTGTCATCAGCCAAAAACAACTGCAAGTTCATTTTCCTGATAAGTGAGCATTACATCAGACTTGGAAATACTGGACTGATAATGAGGATCATAAAATACTGCCTCTGTAACTAGTATTCTAAGCTCCTTACCCTAATGCCCAGCCTTCTCTCCAAGCAAGTCAATGGAGCCAAAATAAGCTATTAGCAAGGAGCTAGACTATATGAAGTAACTGCTACTTCCGGTTTTGAGGTACCTGTTCTAATCCTCCTTAAAGTTCTTAATGTATTTTATCTTTTTACATTAAATCTCCACCACAAAAATCTGTTTTCAAAACAGATTTATTAAATTCTGGTGTTCAAAACCAAGGGAGAAAGAAGCTCATATTCCAAAAGATTGTGTCTTCTACGTTTATTGAGATAAAACAAGGTCACAAGACATTTTATTTGAAACAAAGAAATCTCTCTTATATTTAACTTTCATTTTAGTTTATTGTTTGTCTGAGTGTGCTACACTTACTCAAAATCCAAGCAACAGTAGCCCTACAAAGACCTAATACAAGAGACTTGAGTGAGGCAATGCATGAAGTCTATGAAGAAACTATTTATCTAGCTTACAAAAAATAATCTGAATGAAATCAGAATGTTGAAAGTTCACACCTAAGTTCAACTTTCTGTTCAAGGCTGTTTTCTAGAGATGTGTACAAAGGTATATTTTGCTAGTTGCCATTTACACATTGTAAGGCATACAGAAAACATTGCAGTCATGGTTTTCAGTCTTGCCTCAGATGGTATACAAATGGAACCATTTTTGGATAACAGATTTACCTAAGATGCAGAATCAAAATGTTTACCAGACCTTTGAAAATCTCATCAAGATCTGAGAGAGCTTCTAGCCCATCATAAAATAAAGGCTATTAGGTTTGTATTTTTCCCCAGCTTTAAAACAGAAGCAGAAAATTGTTTCTACGCTTTTGCAATTCAGAAATTTAGACTGCACAAGCCGTGGCATTTCTATTTAAACAACAGCATTAATGCATTATTTAAAAGTCTTCTATATAGCAATTTTATGAACCTTTGAGACCTTTAATGTATTTATTTCTTAAAGAGCCTTTTAGGAAGGGGAACTGTTTCTGGCTAGTGCAAGGAAATCAACCCTGAAGTGTTCATTCCAACATGTTCCTTACTCAAACACAAACCCTAGGAAAGAGGTAAGAGAGATATCAGCATATCAGAGCACAATTCTGTCCCCCATCCTTACCCATATCTCTTTTTGCATTTGCCACCCTTTTGCAATACCACGTCCAAAACATTCAGATCTCCATTCAATTTTAATTCTACAGGAAATATTTTTTGTGACAGCAAGTTTGAGTGACATTTGTTTTCACTGACACGATACACCCCATTAGAGGACTCACCTCTTTTGATGCCACTGTATGAACTGATACGGTTATCTACCAACAAAACCAGGCCACAGAGAGAAGTTGAATAGAGAGACATTGCAGTTTGAAGTCTGTGAAGTTTTACTCCACTTCGATGATTGCGTTTATGTTTACAGAAATCTAGCATATCAGCTCTCAGTAATCTCAAATTATGCATAGTCTTCAACTGAGCTCCTGTAGGGAGTATCAATGATTTGAATACATACAGTGAAAGAGCAAAATTGGGATTGTTATTAAAATTCAAGGGATTAAAGTGCTTCCCTAAGTTTTCTGATAAAGATCTATAAGAGAAATACAATCAATAATACTCAAAGAAAGTTTTCAACCATATATTGTTTTACATACACACCAGCAATTTACAAAGTAAGAGTAAAAATGCAGTATTTTCACATGCTGTCACAAAGCAAGGCCTTGTTCGCTATTATAAGGCTATGGATGAAATACTAACGCAGTCAAAACAGCATAAGAAGTCTCTACTGCATAAACAAAAAGCAAAAACTTTAGGTATCTATTTTTCTGTTAATTGATCATGGGAATTGAACCTAATACTGACATTCGCTTACCAAACATAAGAATAGTTAAAATACAATTTTTAACCACTATATGTTTTGCTGTTAGTGTACCTTGCGAGGGTGGATAAAAACTTGCTTCTAGAAAGTTTGCCATTAAGTATCTCTCAGGTAGCTAGATACTGTTTGATACAGCTTACACCATACAGTCCTCCTCTTACTTATGCAAAGAACAAATACAGTTCAGTTTGTATATATTATGCACATTCATGGTTAATAATACAAGTCATACTGTAAATAATACACGGTTTAGATACATTATTTATTAGCATTTGTCATGATGTTTCATTTTGGCGTCAGTTTACTTACCCAAGTGAATAGTAAAACTTTCTTCTAACAGCCTCTGCTCTTCATAAATTCTTCCGTTTCCTTCTACAGATTCTCTCAGTTGGCTGGGCTGAATATTAATTTCATCACTAAAATAATGAAAAATGTACTGAAAAGTTTGCCCTAATTTTTGTTCAATTCAACAATATCTTGTGAAAGCTATCCAAAGTTTTCTTGGCTAGTCTGTAGAAGTCAAGAGACTAAACCTATCGGTATGAACTCCACTTATCTGAGCTTTTGCCTTTCTGGCATGCAATATTCTAGGTGCATACCGGCAGAAAGAGCTAACTCCACCGTTAGATTTACCTAAATAATTACAAAGCATTTTGAGATTGAGAAATAAAAATTAATCAAAATACCTAGTTATAAGATAATAACAGAGAAAGAAAAAAAACCACAACAAAACATTCTTCTCAGCTTATTTATCATAGCCAAAACCTTATTTATTAAGTTACAACACAAAACATTTCTATTTTGACCCATATACAAAACAGGATGCTAAAAAAAAGATAAAAATAAAACACTCCATTGTATTTAAACTAGCTGGAAATATTTCAGATACCAGGTACAATGATTAAAACACTATTACTTCACATCTATTATGGGCATCCGAGATTGTGACACCAAAACATCCTCACTCTCTCTTAGAGGTCCTTGCCTCTGGACCTTTAGCAGTCCTTTTGCTTCAACTGTCCTACTTAAATGGCTAACCTGAAATAAAGATTATGTAAGAGCAAGTCCTTTGAACTATTACAGATGGAAGTAAGCATCACAGAGGAATTAAACACCTGACTGTGCTGTTGTTGGGATTCTTTAGGTCCTGATGAAGTTTTATCACCCATTCCTGATATTCCTGCTTCTGGATGGCAGTAGACTGTTTTAATTCATTGGTCCACTTGTTCTCCAAATCCTAACAAGACAACAGTGATAATTTGAGTAGTTTGTGTTGTCTTTTTAAACTAGTATTTGCTTGACATGCATATTCTACTTCACTGAAGTCAGTTTACCTGCTGAGATTCAAAATGCTGAGCTGCTAATGAATTTACATCTTGGTCTGTTAGCGATTTCCCTAGCTCCTGCATCACCTTATCCATTTCAGCTCCTTGTCTGAAATAGAAGCAAAAATAGATTTGCAACTAAAACAAAAAAAAAAATGGCAAAACAACACTGTTGTGGTTTAAGCTCAGTCATAAATCAGCCATGCAGTCCTCGCTCACTCCCCGCTACCTTTCCTCCCCCCTCTCCCGGAGGGACGGAGAGGAGAATCAAAAGAATGTAACTCCCACAGGTTGAGATAAGAACAGTCCAGTAAGTAAGGTATAACACAAACCACTACTGCTACCACCAATAATAATAATGATAAAGGAAATAACAAGGGGAGAGAATACAATACCACCCACTGACCGATACGCAGCCCAACCAAGCAGTGAACTAGCCCTTCCGGGTACTTCTCAGTTTACATCCTGGGCATGACGTGCTGTGGTATGGAATACCTCTTTGGCTAGTTTGGGTCAGGTGTCCCATCTCTGCTTCCTCCCAGCTTCCCCTTCTCCCTGGCAGAGCATGAGACTCAGAAAGTCCTTGGTCAGACTAAACATTTGAGCAGTAATTAAAAACATCGGTGTTATCAGTGCTGTTCCCAGGCTGAAAGTCAAAAATACAGCACTGCACCAACTACTAAGAAGGAGAAAAAATGACTGCTACTGCTGAACAGCTATCATAAAGTCACTGATACAATGATCAGTTGTATCAGTCGGCTGGTCAATTCTCATCACAAGCAGAGATACAACTGAATGCACAGCTGAAAGCTATGTCATACGCTACTTTGTCCATCTGCTCATTTTGGAATTGGAATTCATATATTTAAAGTCTGCCCTCACAGATGTTCTAAAGAAGGTACAACAGTATCTCCAGATACTCTAATACAGCATCTAATTCACTACCCTTATCATTAGAAGAGGTTTTGAAATAGACCTATTCAGTCCCTTGCCTTCCTCCTGCCCAACCATACCACAGTTGATCCAGACAGGTAAACACCAGGAAGTAGGTTAAACATAACCATTTTTAACAGTCAGATGAGCTTCCAGCTCAAATTACATTCAACATGAGGACCTGGAGTTAAAGGGCTGTCCTGCTATCATCAATTCATCCAATACCTCATCCTTCCTTAGTCTTCTTAAATCCCTGGCTTCACTTAATCTTTCACATTCAGCTCTTTCTTCAGCAAGGAACTGAATTACCCTAGCACTGATTTAGTAATGAATGTCCCCAAAATAAATTTGAGTTGAGGGTCAGGGATTCCCGCTGTTTACAGAGCTCCTGTGTAAACAACACACCTACACTTAGCTGGGATAGCTGCCACTAACATATGGTGCTCCTCGATTATGACAAATGGATATGACAAATTCCACCAGAATCAGTGCACAGCTATATCACACCAGAGCTCTGCAACATTACTGCTCTTAGGATTAACTGCTCTTTCTTCTATATACTACTTGAGAAGAGTCAAAATGGTCTGCTAACATGTTATCAGCAACCTCTATACCCAAATCAGAAATACGTACAATTCAGTCTATAATAAACTATATAAACAGGTATGCATTGTATAATGTGAGCTTAAACACGCACAATTCAAGAGTCAGACTGCCACTCTGAATGCTAAAACAGACCTACTTAGAATATCCTGGCACTTCACAAGCATCTACAGTATTTAGCATCTATAGTATTGTACGGGTTCCCTCTTGTGGACAAAGCAGCCACATGCAGTTATGCAAGCTTATTCGGAAACGCAGGATCCCACAGAAGACTTTCCTAAATTGCAAATTCAAAATTTTCTGATTTAAAGTTGGTTCAAGTCTATGCTCGTCTTTTCATATACTTTATTTTCATAAATCATAGAGTGATTAGGGTTGGAAAGGACTCTAAGACCATCTAGTATCAACCCCCCTGCAATTGGCCACCTCACACTTGACCATGTCACCCAAGGCCCTGTCCAACCTGGCCTGGATTTTCTAGATATCCTAAGCACTTTATGTTGCTATACCACTTAAAACGTGGATAGAACAATGGACATCAAACTTTCTATTACTTTGATGGCCTTAGCTTTTATTATTTTCAGTGTCTGAGGAGAACATAATATAGCGGACCCTAACGGTATAAGGCTAAGTATTATACAACTTTAAAGAGGGAAACCTAAAACTAAATAGGGCCTACGCAGACAAATACAAGTTGACACACATTGTCCTACAAGTTGTATAAACCCAGTGGCATGCACCCCTATTTATTAAGAGAGGAAAAAAAATAGAATAATGGAATACCTTTCCCGAAGTTTTTTCAGTTCCACATCTCTTTCACTTATTAATTCTGAGATGCTAACAAAATAATTGTGTTCCAGGTTTAACAGCATTTCAGAAGCTGGAGAATGTATAAGATCATGATAAACATCTGCAAAATCTTCATCCCAGCTGGTTTCTTCAGGTTTTGCATATTCTAAGGTTGTCTAAAAATGATAAAAGGCATTTTAAAGCATATGGTACCTTTTAGGACATACAAGGATCCCTCACAATGTTGGGTCAAAACCAACTGCGCATTCACACTGTTGCTCAATCTTAAACGTATGAAAATTATCTTATCAAAAAAAGGTAATTTTTGCTTTAATATTATATTATTTTAATAGTCTGTTTTAGAATATAGAAAGCTCAAATTTAAAAAATGTTTTCACTTTTTTTTCCCTTCCCATAGTCTCTTTCAAAGCAACTAACAACGGAAACATTAAGGTTTTGACTGCAATGAGGAATTGCCAATTTTCAGCCATCCCCAATTGGAAAGAACAATATCTGTAACAATATTTGCAGTTGATGAATTTCAGATAGGGTCCAAAACACCAGCTGTGCAAACAAAAATGTTTTTTCTAGAAAGGCTGACTAACCTCTGACATCACTAGAATTTGATCAGCAACACTGATTTAAGAAAAGACGGGTTTTATTGCACAAAGAATGGCCCAAAGATTCCAGTTTTTTAAGCTCCTTTTTACTGGAAAACTCCTTACATTTGTAATCATTTCCACCATGACAAACTGAGATTATATCATTGATGTGTAGGTTAGAAATGTCAATGAATGATCTAATCCTAACCCTTGCACTCAGGCCGACCTATTTGTAGAGACCACTAGCAGAGAAGACAGTAGATTCTTTCAAATGTTCTATCACATTCCTATGCTCACCCAATACAGATTTTTGTTAAGCTAATTTAGTTTTGTTGACATTCTTTAAGGCAGATGATTTGCTTCCAAATATCTTTATAACAGAAGAATTTTTCGGATTTTTTCACAACATTCTTCTACACTGCATGAAGCAAATTCAATTCCCATAAACTTTTCCTCAAATGCTGCAGTTTGTCATTTTGGTTTTTTTTTTTTCCTCTTTGCTAGAACTCCTCCAGTTCTTTTGCATTCTTGTTTTGAAGATCACATGCAAAACTGGATGCATTACTCCAGCTAAAATGTAAAATAGTTACATGAACACAGAAAATGAGCTGAAGAGTATCCCCCAAGTATATACTATTCCTCTGGAGACTTGATTGCCACTACTAAGATCCAGGATAGGAGTACTAATTTACTATCTCTTGCTTCGATTCTAATACATTATAGCCATTACGCCTATTTTTGTTTGACTATCACTAGCTATTTACCTGTCAATTTTCTGTTTCTACTAAATTCAAGAAAAGTCTAATTGATAACTAACAGGATGAAGACCTAATGATCACTTTCAGATAAAAAATAAAATTGTAAGAATTGACCAGTAAATTTCAGTGTAATTTTGCATCTTCACGGATGTCATTGTCCGTACATGCACACACACATTGACAAAGCAAGTCCTGAATATTAACTTTTCAGCCTTAATCTTACCTCTTTATAAGCTTTAGCCCAAGTATCTGCCAGCTGGTTTATGTCTACTTTTCCCGATTTCACTGCTTCCAGAGCCATTTCAGCTTCTCTATCATAATCTTTTATAGTTTCCTCTTCTACAAACTTCTTAAGAGACTGCTTCAGGTCTATTACAACAAGAAAAGAATGCCGCATCAACAAAACATGCCAGTAGAAGTATCAGTAATCATCTGGGAAACATACAAATAAAGTTTTTCTGAAAACATTTTACTTGGGCACCTTACTTGCTACTACTGACAATAGTTTAATGTTTTGTTGTCTTAAAAACAATTTTTTAAGACTGTTCTAACAAACACCCTTCTTTGGGTTTCTAAAAGGATGTTGTAAGACACTTGTGGACATGGACATATGACATTAATTTAAGAAATCAATTCTTACCATTTTCTATAAAGCATGGCAAATTGTGCAGAAGCATTAGACGTCCATGCAAATGACTAATATTCTCTTGCACAGGGAATTTGAGAGGCACGGTAAGCACTAAATGTTGATTTCCAGCATTGAATTTGTACATATAGTCTCTCTCTCTACTGCACATCTTTCCTTTATTAGGCTTCATCTTCTTGAGTTGATTTCCTGCGCTAGAAACAAAAATAACATGACCTAAATTCTTGTAAAAATGTAAGTAAAAATGCTAACTAAAACCATGGCTTTGTTAACAGCTTCTGGAAAGAAAAAATAAACCCCCAAAGTTTTCATACTCATCTTGACTTCCAAATACATGGGTTGGAACTGTAACACAAATAGCAGTTTACAAAACATTGAATGCTTCTAAACTGTAACTGAGTGTATCATTTTATGAATTAGATATAAAGAAGATGTAAGTTAGATAAAAGGAAGTTCTTCCCTGTGAGGATGATCAGGCACTGGAACAGGCTGCCCAAAGAACTGGTGAATACTCCATCCCTGGCAGTGCTCAAGGCCATGCTGTGGAGAACCTTGGGGGGCATGGTCCAAGGTGAGGCATCCCTGCCCATGGCAAGGGCATTGGAACTAGGTGATCTTAAGGTCCTTTCCAATGCTGACCATTCTGTGGTTCTATGATTCTATAATTTAGGTACTCACTGTTACAATTACAGTATAAGCATCCTGACTTAAAGGCAGAACCAGAACAAACAGCAAACTAACTAAACCACTGTAACTGCTGCCATGAACATCTCAAAATCCGAAATCCCTCACTGTAAATTAGGATTTTACTTCCTCCTTTCTGCAGCTGGTAGGTTTGAATTGGCAGGGGGGAGGCTGTGGAAGTTTGCAATCATTTTTACAAAAAGCTTATTTTTTTTTCACCTACTTTAGGATAGATTGTCATTATTTCTAAATAATACCATTGGAAATAAGCCAGGAGAAAAGCAAGATAACTGCTTACAGAATGAAAATACTGGATGGGATAACGTAACTATGTCACTAATTCTTCCCTCTACTCATTTACATTCCTCGTTCTAGAACATCACCTGCAAAGCAGGACACATCATTCCAGCTGAAACCTATGCTAAAAACTATTCTCCAAGCATAATACAAAAGAAAAAAGTCTATTTTCCATGGTATTTTCGACGGCAAGATTAATGGGGCCAGTTCACATTTTTCGTTTGTATTGGGGTTTTTTGTTTGTTTGGGGTTTGTACGTGTGTGAACAAACCTATATATTGGAAACGCGATTAAACAAATGAGTTACAAATTGCTTCACTGTAACACCAAAATCTCTGAACCCAAAGCAACCCAAAACGGTCTCCTGGCCCACAAGAGAAGGATTTAAACGGCACCACTTAGGAATGCAAAACTTACGAACTTTTTTCTGCAACCTCCCGACAAAACAAGGCTTAGCAGGGAAGAGAAGTGCAGTTCAGCAGCCGATGTGCCCCAGCAGAGAGGCCCAAACCCGGCGCTTGTGCCCCCAGCCACACCAAGGGCTCTGATGAGCCAGATCTGCTGCTCATGCCAAAGGAGGCGACATCAGCTCCCACCGCTGAAAACATAAAGCCAGCGGCGGGAAGAAAACGCCTGCAGGACCCCATCCACATTTACCCCGCCGGCAAGGCTCCGACACCCCAGAGTAAGCACAGCCCCACAGCTCGGATGGGGCAGCGCCCGCGGGGACTACAGCCGGTTCCCCCGCCGCCGAAGGCAGGACCGATGTCTTCCTCCTTCTGCGCTCACCTGGGTGCCAGGCGGGCAGGTGAGGGAGCGCGGCGGCCAGCGCCGCCCGGGGGAGAATGGCAGCGAAGAGCTTCCGCCACTGAGGAAGGCGACGGCGGGCGGCTCCCGCCTCCCCATGAACCCTTCGCATCCGGAGCCGCAGATTCGCCGCCCACCCTCCCGCTTGTAGCGAATGTGCCGACGAGCGCCCGCTCCCGCGCAGTTGAGCGCGTTGCCGGCGCCAAGGGAGAGGCGGAGGGGGCGGGATAGAACCGCCGTTAGCGGCGGGTGTACCCGGCGGCCCGGAGCTGGGATGGCGCGGCCGGTGAGGAGGTGAGGGCTGCGGCGGAGCCGGGGAGGACCGAGGACCGACCGCGGTGCGACCGGCGACGAAGTGCGCGGGGCCCTGAGTGACATTTCCTCGAAAGCGTGAGGCGGGCGCGCGCCGCCGTTGGCGGCCGTTTCTCGATGAGGGGGCGTTTCGGGTCATCACGGGCTTACGGGGGCCCTGTGCCTCCACACCGAGCCGTTTCATGGCCCCTTCTAGCGTTGGGGCTTAAGGACAGGCCTGCGCCGTTTTCCCTTCCAGATGGAGGGAAACGCGGGGCTTCTCCCTGGGACGGGCAGCAGGAGCATCTGTCTCGCGGAGAGCAGCGGACCCCGGGCTGAGGGGTGGGCTTGGGAGCCCCGTTTGTGCTTCCCGCTGGAGAGAATAGCGCCTCACTGCAGAGACGGCAGTGCCACACCGGAAACGGGCTGGAAGGTGCGCGGAAAACATATTTGAAATGCCTAAAAGTGACCCGGGAGAGGAGTAATTGCACAGTAGCAGCTCTGAGATGGTGTGGGTGTAAGCAAAATGTAATGCTCCCACAATACGAACGAGAAGCACTTTATTTTAAGATTTGTTAAAAATCTAGAAGCTATTCCCAATAACAATGTTGTATACACTAACACTGATTGGTTATACATACATTTAAACGTGTGTTGCTTTTTTCATATAAAACGTAATCTACCCCAAAATAAAGTGTTAACAAGTCGTGATGCTCAGTCTGAAAGGTCTAATAGTGTATGGGTTTTTTGCCACAGGAGCAAGAAAATTGTTGATTATTCTCAGTTTGGGGATTTAGAAGATGATGGTAAGTAACATATTCTTGTACGTAACAAAAATACCAAACAAAAATGTAGCCACCCAAAAAGTCATGAGAGTGTCTTTAATGAATTAGTTCATTGAGAATGCTGTGACTGTTTTCACTGGAAGTGGTCTGGGAATGCTGCTGAATATTCTAATTCAACAAGAGTATGATGGTTGTAAGCCAGAGTGTAACAACAGTATGTTAGGAAACTGGTGAATACACTGTGTCGTGTTGCAGGAAAATCAGTTTCTCTCCCTGCCTCAGTTTTCAGTGGTAATTTGCTACTCCATGTTCTGATTACCAGTTCAAAGGTGTTTAAATGAACACAAACAAATTCTGTTTTGTTTTTTTTTTTTTTTCAAGTGTAATACCTATTAGGCTTTATAAGCAAAGGAGTGTTGAAAACAAATAATCTACAATCTGTTTTTCTTATCAATGTAACTTGACTCCTATGTCCTTACCCTAAACCCATCAAGACAGAGCTGCAGCTTAGATCTACATACAAAACTGTTAATGACAGTGATTACTATTAGAATTGATAACTCTTCAGCATATCAAAAGGTGAACTTCTAGTTACTGAAAATCAGGTAACGTTGGACATTTAAGCTTTATTGCCTTATTGGTAATAAAAATTGAAATCATTATCTCTTGAATACAAGCATGTGCCAAAGAGGTCTTGTTAAGTTTTCATTTAAAATTCATTTATGTAAGGATACTGCAGTTCTAGTTGTATCCTTGAAAAATAGAATTAATTTTAAAAAGGTTACTTTTGGTATATTTTCAGTCTGTGATGAAGTTGAATGACTTCTTCTGGCCATACAGAAGAATATAAGGAAACTCATTTAAGCTTGTTGCTGTTTCCCAAACAGATGAAGACTTTGCATGTATAGCTGCACCTTCAAGCAAAAAATCCAGAACACAGCTCAAGGAACCAAAGGAGAAGAAGGAGAAGCAAAAAAAGCCACAGAAAGAATTGACTCCACCGCCAAAGCAGACACCTAGTAAAAGGTAAGAAACACTGAAATATGGTTAATTCTGTGTAATGATGGATTTCAGTAATAGTTTGGTGTCATGTTACATCCCACTCCCCAAGCCCCGCAACCCCCTTGAGTTTTAAGCAGCTGAAAATACACAATAGCATATTAGCATAATAAAAGACTTTCAGCTTTATTGATACAGTTGCAAATCAGGGATAATGTAATTATGCATAGAGTTGGGAAAAGTTGCCTGAGTTCAGTAGTGAGCTGTGTCTGTTCTGTTACAGCTCTAAAAATCTCCAGCAAGCAGCCTGTATAGGTGCAGAAACAAGTTTGCATGTCTTGATCTTGTTTTGATATTTCTACAGCGCATGATAATTGTAACAATTCTTAGTTACTTAAGGACTCCTAAAACTGAGAAATATAAAGACACTTAAAAATTTACTCTTTAAAACAGAACATACTTAAAGCTTGATATATATAAAAAAGTCAGTGTCTACGAAAAAAGAAATCTGATTATTTTGGTAGTAAAGTTGTATATAAATACTACATTTCAGTGTGTTTTTTCAAGCAAAAATAACATTTTCTCTAATAATACCAGTTACTAGTTTATATATATATCTGTACATACAATGTTTTGCAATCATAGAACCTTTATACATAGTGTGCTTTAATATTAGTGTGTACTTTGTCTAAATCATTTAAGGAAGTAATATTCATAATACTCTGTACATACTGAAATATTAATATCTTTTCAAGTATTTGAATTTTACAAAGTTCAGTGAATCAGAAATAGATATCTAACACTCATGCCATTGTTTTATTATTTAGCATGTTTGGTTTGGGTTTTTTTTCAGGATATCTTTGGATGACAAACTTTATCAAAGAGATTTGGAAGTTGCCTTAGCCTTATCCATCAAACAGAAGTCTGCAAATATTGCCGAGGTGCAACATTCACAACAAGGTTATTTTACATTTGACTGCAACACTATTTATATGTAGTGAATTTGAACATGACTATTTTACAGTGAAATAGTTTGAAAGTCATGTTTTATTTCAAGATGTCATGATTAGGAAATGAGAATTTCTAGGTAGTCCCTCTTCTTATGTTTTGGGGATTGGGTTTTTTGGGGGGTTTGGTTTGGTTGGGGTTTTTTTTTGTGTGGAAAAATAACTTTTCTGTAAGAACGTCCAAACATAGTTTTCTTAATATCTTAACCTTTTACAATGTGTTTTTTGTGTACTTATGTTTTATATTCTTTTTTGTTTGTTTTCTGGATGCTAAAACAGGTAAGGATTTTGAATTGGAAAATGTACAAAGGAGACCCCTTTTTTCCAACTGCAGTGTAGACAGTGAACTTTTAGGTAAGCTATTCTCAAACTCTGTCTTTTCAGATACAGAATTTCAAGATGTATTTAAGTATTTTAATGTCTTGTTTTCACTTACATGGAAAAAATAGTCTTTATCTTAAACAAAGACTGAAAGATGCAGCAACTTTTTCATCCAATCTTAAAATGGGAAGATGTGGATTGCTGAATGAGATTGTTACAGATCACTAAAAGTTTGTTGGAAAAACAAACAGACATGTGATGGTTTTAGATGCTGAGTTGATTTACTTCTTCAAGAAGCTGCACTTGCCTTCAGCTCTGGAATGGGTCCACAATAGCTAAGCATCAGCTAAACATAACTAAAACATTAGCTATACCGCTGGAAACTTTTTAATTTTTCCAGTTTTATTTTTGGTCTCCTGTTCTTTTGTTAACTGCATTACAAATAAATATTGATAACTTTCACAACCAGAATTTACAGTTTGGTCACTTAAGATAGTAAAATGAGAATCACATGAAAACAAGTGCCAATGATGCACTTCTATATAGTATACTTCAAAATCACAAAAATAAATTCTGAGGGCTCAAATACCTGCTTCTTTTTTTTGAGAAGAAGTAATAGTTTTACTGTGAATTTGGATTAGACCAAGCTCTGCTTTCTAGGTCTCAATCAAGTTATGGATGATGATGTACCTAGGGCTGATGGTATACAAAGGACAACAGCATCTAACGTTCCTGCACATCAAAAGAAGCTACTGACTGTTGACAGTGATGACAGAAAGCATGCTACTGACTCTGAGCCAGAGTGTGTACCCAGTAAGGTCTCCTCTATAAAAACCCTTAGATGTGTTTTGAATGTGATTCCTTAAACACGGTTAATATTTTCAGTGAAATGCATTCTGCTTCTGTTGTATATTCCCCCTTGACCCCTTACTGAAGCATTATCTTTTAATATTAGTGACATCTCAGTTGCCCTTTGGCACTAAATCTAAACATTGGAGCTTGTTCTAACACATTTGCCGAACTGGCAGAAGTTATCCTACTTCTCTGCATTTGCAGAAGTATGTCAGAACAAATTTCTACCATCTTTGTCCAGGAAGGTTTCATGTCTTTAGAGAGCCTCTGTTAATTTTTCCTGTTGTTGTCTGGGGTTTGGATCAAAACATTGACTCTGGAGTACAATGTGGTATTAGTGCTCCTAGTATTTGCTTTGTTTAAGCTTATTGAAAAAAAGTAAGTAGCTTTCCTTCTTTCCTTTCTTCAGTCCTCAACTCTCAGAAGACAATGCTGCATCTGACTGGAGGTCAGGGTAGCCTCATGCTCTGCTTCTGGTAGAAGTCTAGTATTGAATGCCTGCAGAGTATGACAGTCACCTCATTCCCCAGTGGTTAACGTGTCTATCCATTCTTTTATTCATTACTTTAAGGATTATTGCAATGTGTTTCCAGAATTGCCAGTGCAAAAGATAGATCAGGGAAATCATCCACATACTCCTGTTGATAGAGAACTATTTTTAGAATTTGCTAATGTCCTTTTTTTTTTAATAGTGAATCTGTGAAATCTTTCTTGCAGCTGAAATTAGACATAGTGTTTTTCCACTTCAGTCATGACTAAGAATATGTAAAAATCAGAATCCCTGCCAAATGACTTTAACATTTTCATCTTGCACACATGGAATATCGGTAATTCTGCTGTTAAATTATTACTGTATGCAGTTTATACCAGGGTGTTCCATTATTAAAGTTCAGAGCAAGAATTCTGTAAATACATAATGTTTTATGGAGGTTATTTCTTTCTCAGTTCGGCATATAAATATGTTCAAATTTGGTTTATTGTATCTTTAAGGTAACCTGGGTTTTTATGTCCAGAGTGTGATTAGAAGGCCCTGGAGTAATATAATAGTAGATTGTATTTCATGTAGAGAGATGACATCCCTTTTTCTTGCTGTAGGTGAGGAGTCAGAAGAAGATTCAGATTACAGTGAAGATGATGATGAAGACTTTGCTATGGAAAAGAAAAAAGCCAAAGGAAATAAAAAGGAAACCAGACAAAAGATGCCAGTGGAAAGAGAGAAGAAAACTTCCAAATCCAGGATTAATACTACAGGTAAGTTTGCATGATGAATTTGAAATAGACTTTTTTATAATGAACGTCCCTTTTATTTTTCACTGAAGAAATAGATAGATTTGGCTGACAGCCTGACTGTGCAGGGTTATGATGAAAATGAAGTACTATATGCAGAATAAAAGGAGGAAAGCAGAAAAAAATCCTGAAAGAAAGAACATTCTGTAGTAAACTAATGCTTCTTACAAAGAAAAGCAGGCAAAAGTGAATAGGCAATTAATTTCTATTTTTGTAACTATACCTAGCTTTTAAGAAAAGGCGTGAGTGATCTGAGGATTGTTATTTTTTTTAAATTATAATCTCAGATCTTCCTCTTGCATTTGCATTTATGAATGTTTAATTCAAGGATAGCTAAAGAAAGCTAGTCCTACTATCCACTTGGCGAAAACTAGTAAATAGTCATGCTCTTCAGAGTTAATTGGTCACTGTGTCACTAGTGCAATTTATTTTAAATAGTTTAAGAAAATACTTAATCATGGTGTTAATTTTGTGTCTGACTTGGTAATGTGTTTTAGTTTCAGGCCTAAATTTAAAACATGTAATTTAGTTTAAAATTACTTTTAGGTGTAACAAAGAATGGTTTGCTTTGTGTAGTTGACAGAAGAATCTTCTGTCTTAGAAATCCAACATTTGGCAGGTCCTGAAGAAGAAGTTGTTGTACTGCTTATTGTCAAACTAGGTTTGAAATTCTAGAGTATAACAAGACTGACTTTATAAATATATACTGATAAAGATGTGACAATGTAGTAACATTATTTCACTCAATACAGAGAGCTCATGCTGCACAATGATCAATCATCTTATGCGGTGTGGTAATTTCTCTGCTGAAGAGTATTCTTCTAAGGTTGTTTTTTTTATTTCCAACGAAGTATCGTCTGTAGTTTCTCCTTTTGGGAGAACAGAACAAAAATCTGCGCAAACACAAAAGATGATGTCCAGTTCTTCAGGCCCAGTTGGAAGGCCTCTACATACATCAAGTCCTGTATCAGATAAGCCTAAATGGATACCACCAGGTACCTTTAAGATTGCAATTATAAACAGATAGGTTAGTTGACTTAAGTTTTTAGCAGTCTCTCCTAAAAGCAAACAAACAATATTTCAAAACAATGACTGACCTCTTACAATGAAAGTTATTCTTTTGAACTTATATTTAAAAGAAAAGAAAAAAAGACTATCTCTGCTTCTTTTTCCTCTTACAGCATAATTCTTAAATGCTTCATGTGGGGTGGTTAATTAAATGTTATACAGAGTGTGGATCAGATCTTAATCCAGGATTGTTTTGTGGCCATTTCTCTCTTAATAACAGCTTTCTTTATCTCTGGTATGTGCTGCATTCTTACCTGTTCTGAACAAATAATACTACCAAAATGCTGGAGTGTTTTAACTGCTGTAGTAAAGCGAATGCTTTATTTTTTTAAGGTTTTTGAGCATGCTTCTGCTGACTCCTGCCTCTTGCTTTGATTTTCCTTCATATTTGCTCTTCTTTCCTGTACATGTTTATTTCTGTTTGGCTCCTTTCTCTCAAGTCTTTTTTTCACACTTGGACTTGTGTTCAGTTGTGTGATTCTCTGTGGAGCACCTGAAAACGCATAGTATTCTGGAAACAGTATATGCTTGTCCAGTGCTGCTCCAGTGTGTTGTGCTGGTTAATTAAATTGTACACAATACCTTCTGCATTGGCTCACAAATAGATTGATTCCCAGACCTTTTTGCAGTACCTTTAGAATACTGTTTTTGTTCTACTGTGACAACTATAAAAAGACAGCAGTCGTATAATATCCCTCCTCTCCCCAAGTCTCTTAAGCTTTCTTTCTGGTTTGTTTTGTTTTGTTGGTTTTTTTTCAGCTGCCTCAGGAAGCAGTAATAACTCTATGAGATGTGTTTCTCTTAAATCACCTACTCAGTGTCTTAGACTCGGCCTCTCCAGACTAGCAAGAGTCAAACCACTGCATCCCAGTGCTGCCAGCAGTTAAGTGGTCAGTGACAAGGTGACATGTGACAGAAAAGACTTTGGAAAGTGTTTTGCTTATGAATAAGCAAAAGCCTCATGGCATCATCGGTATTGGAGGACTGTTGTTTATGTATGTATCTTATAATGATTTTTTATTCTGCAAAATGCTAGGTATCCTTAAGCGCTACTAAATAATAATACTATTTAATCAAGGTGACATCTGGGTCACCAGCTTTTTCATGTATTATATTCTGATATGTGGGTTTGTGGTAATTTTAATTCTCTGATATCTAAACTCTTGGCATTAAAATAGTCTACACAGCACTATGTCAGTTATAGAATGCGATATCTTAACACAGTGAAAGTCACAGTTTAAAAAATATTTCTTGGAAGAGTTACCGCTTTCCACCCCCTTCTTGGGAAGTATGTCGCCACTCTCAAAATCTGTTAATGTTTGCATATCTTGTATGTGGATGTTAATTATTTTGAATGTATTATAAATGGGAGGTTTCTTAGAATGTTGTATTTTTTAATAAAATAAAATTCTTTATATAACCAAATTAGTAATATTAATTGACTTTATTAATTTTGAAAATCACTTATGACTTCTAAATTTTTGCTGCGGTCTGGCAGATATTTTTGCCTGTGCATACTGTTACTGGAAGTCAACAGCATTAGCCAGGCTTGGACAGTGAGACTTTTGCTTTGACCTCTTTGGTTTTCATTGAAGACCGTGATACTGTGCATAGTTAGATTTTGTAAAGCACTGAATAATGAAACTGAGCTTTCAAACTTGTTATTCACAATGTAAATGATTTCCCACCTAAGCATAATGATTGTGTCAGATGACAGAGCAGATGCATTTCCCTTGTATTGCTAAAGGTATCTGGTTATGACTTAGTGAATTGCATTAACAAAGGAATATATAGCCATATTCAGAGTAATTACACAGACAAAAGTGTGGTGTTGCCTACAGTAAAATTATGGTATAACAAAAAAAAATTTAACAGTATAGTACTTACATTATTAAAATAAGATACATGCATATTTTTTATATTTATTAAGAACAATGTACGGATTGCCTTATAGAAGGAATGAGAAGAAATCAGTGGATGATAATCTGTTTCTCAGAAAAAAAGGAAACGTAGGCATTGTGACATAAAATCTCCACATTTTGGATTCCTGGCATGGAATCACATAGCCCTGTGAAGTGTGATCCCATGAGCTGGGCTAAGTGAGTTAAGGAGGGGAGGCAGTGCCCTGGTGTCTCTAGCGCTTGTCTGACTCTGTCACAAGTCACCTTGGCTTGCTAAAGTGACACATTGGTAGACTAGAAGTTGACAGCAGGTTGCCATCAGATGAGCTTGAAACTGATTCCAAACAAGGGTGATGCAGGAGTACCCACAGGAGGAAAGGTAGGTATCCAAAACCAATGCTTGTGACAACCAGTATGTTGTATGTATGTTACTTTATTCCTCTCCCTTTTCTTTGTGCTTACATGCACAGCCCTCTTCTGCAGTGTACAGTGGATAAGTGGCTGCTACAAAATGGGAGCCTCAGGCCCAGGGTGGTTTTTTGCAGCACCCCATCCATGGCCCCCATTCATGTGTCAGTCCTTTTCTTTCCACAGGAGTTGTCATGCAAAAGAACAGTTCTCTCACTGCATCAGGTCTCATTCTGTTGAAAGTAAATGGTCATGAATTGTTTTGCTTTTATGTTTTTTTTTCAGGGATAAAGATAGTTTTCATGTGGTTGCATGTTTTCTTGCTACAGGGAAATATATGTAATGGTGCAAAGTATTTTCTCAACTTCAGGAAAATATTTCTACAGCTGGAAGTTTTAGTAACCGTTTTTTCCCCCCACTCTACTTTCATCCTTTTTTCTTTTTTCTCTCCACAAAAAATACACTTGAGATTTGTGTTCCTCTGGTTTTCAGCTTGGCCCCTTTCAAAACTGACATAATTTTCAGCCTGCCACCTGTCCTTAAGCCCCTCCTTAAGTTGTGTATATTTCCCATTCATGAGGATTTTCCAGTGTTTCTCTGCTTTGCTTTTTTTTTTCTGAGGGAAAGTTTGAACCATTCCCATGAGTTCTGTCACTGAATACCACCATGAAGAGACCATCACTTCCCTCACCACTTTCCCTCCTCAGGAAGCTGCAGAGAGCAATGAGGTCTTCCCTCAGCCTCCTTTTCTCCTAACTAGACAGACCAAGAGTCCTTTAGCCACTCTTCACAGGACATGCCTTCCAGCCCTTCCATCAGCTTTCTTGCCCTCCTCTGGATACATTCAAGGACCTTCACATCCTTCTTAAACCATTGTCACAGAACTACCCACAATACTCAAGGTGAGGCAGCACTGACTCAGTACAATGCAGCTCTTGACCCTACTGTCAACCAGCACACCCAAGTCCCTCTCTGCAGGACTGCTCTCCAGCCACACCTCTCCCAGTTTATGCTTGTGCCCAGCATTACTCCACCCTAGGTACTGAAGCCAGCATTTGTTTGTGTTAAATTTCACACAATTGACTGCCCAGTGTTCCAATCTATTCCAATCCTTCTGCAAGGCCTCTTGTTGAAGTCAGGAGAATGAAAACCAAGCTCTTGGACCCAGTTTCCTCATTTACATTCACTGACTCGTATTCAAGCTCGAGCTCCAATGTATAATCTGCATTCATAGTCCATAGAAAAATCACATAGTCACATTTACAAGATGCGCTATTCCTAAGCAGATAAATGTGAGCTGTCTTCCATGTTTGATCACTTGAGTAAAAGAACTCAACTTTTTTTTACATAGTAACATACCAGTGTAAACCTCAGAGGTTAAAACCCTATGTTACCACTTCCTGTGTTCCTCTGGGCAGAAACCTGCTCTTTGCATTTTAAAACACTCCTGAAGTGTTTAAACTTAAGTCCTGCTACTTCAAAGAATAACTGGTCTGTCTTCACTCATGTGTGGCATCTTTCTCTTGAGAGGAAGCCAAAAAAAACTGTGAGAAAAACATCTTACTTGAATTGAGGCTATTTCTGCTGTGCTGAATCTTTCAGTCTTCACACCAAATAGTCACAATGCTTATGTACATTTTAAACAAAGACTTCAAGTATGCGTTATTCCCATAGATTTTGGATATGTAAAATCTGAAATTTCTTTTGTTTTTTTTTTTGGGGGTGTGTGTGTGTCTGTCTTCCCCTCCATTTATCGGGTTTCTGTTTGAGGTTTGTTTGGTAGGAAGGACACGTAGGAAGTCAAGGAAGAGGGCCAAGAGACCTGCGTGGCTAAATAGGGAGTTGCTGGGTATGCTCAAGTGGAAGAGGAGAGTTTACAGGTCATGGAAGGAGGGGTTGGCCACTTGGGAGGAATATAAGGCTGCTGCTAGAGGATGTAGGAAGGCAGCTAGGAGGACTAAGGCATCCTTAGAATTAAACCTGGCAAGAAGGGTCAAGGACAGCAAAAAGAGCTTTTTCAAATACATGGCAGACAAAACTAACACCAGAGGCAATGTAGGCCCACTGATGAACGGGATGGGTGCCCTGGTGACAGAAGATACAGAGATGGCAGAGTTACTGAATGCCTTCTTTGTCTCTGTCTACTCTGCTGCAGGCAGTCCTGAAGAGCCCTGTACCCCTGAGACCTTAGATGAAGTCAGGTCAATGAAGCGGTTTGCCTTAGTCGTTGAGGAATGGGTTAGAGACCAGTTGAGCAATCTGGACATCCATAAATCCATGGGTCCAGATGGGATGCACCCGCGGGTGCTGAGGGAACTGGTGGAAGTCATTGCTAGACCACTCTCCATCATCTTTACCAAGTCTTGGGAAACGGGAGAGGTGCCTGAGGACTGGAGGAAGGCAAATGTCACTCCAGTCTTCAAAAAGGGCAAGAAGGAAGACCCGGGTAACTATAGACCGGTCAGCCTCACCTCCATCCCTGGGAAAGTGATGGAACACCTTATCCTTGGTGCCATCTTAAGGCATATCAAGGATAAGAGGGTTATGAGGGGCAGTCAACATGGCTTCACCAGGGGGAAATCATGTTTGACCAATCTCTTAGCCTTTTATGAGGAAATAACACGGTGGATGGATGATGGCAGAGCGGTGGATGTGGTCTACCTTGACTTCAGCAAAGCATTTGACACAGTCTCCCACAGCATCCTCACAGCTAAATTGAGGAAGTGTGGTCTGGATGATCAGGTAGTGAGGTGGACTGCGAACTGGCTGAAGGAGAGAAGCCAGAGAGTTGTAGTCTATGGGGCTGAGTCTAGTTGGAGGCCTGTAACTAGTGGAGTGCCTTAAGGGTCAGTACTGGGACCACTATTATTTAATATATTCATCAACGATTTAGATGAGGGAATTGAGTGTACTATCAGCAAGTTTGCTGATGACACTAAGCTGGGAGGAGTGGCTGACACGCCAGAAGGCTGTGCTGCCATCCAGCGAGACCTGGACAGGCTGGAGAGTTGGGCAGGGAATAACTTGATGAACTATAACAAGGGAAAGTGTAGAGTCCTGCATCTGGGCAGGAACAACCCCAGGTTCCAGTATAGGTTGGGAAACGACCTGTTAGATAGCAGTGTAGGGGAGAGGGACCTGGGGGTCCTAGTGGACGACAGGATGACCATGAGCTAACACTGTGCCCTTGTGGCTAAGAAGGCCAATGGCATCCTGGGGTGTATTAGAAGGGCGATGGTTAGTAGGTCGAGAGAGGTCCTCCTTCCCCTCTACTCTGCCCTGGTGAGACCGCATCTGGAATATTGTGTCCAGTTCTGGGCCCCTCAGTTCAAGAAGGACAGGGAGCTGCTGGAGAGAGTCCAGCGCAGGGCAACAAAGATGATTAAGGGAGTGGAGCATCTCCCTTATGAGGAAAGACTGAGGGAGCTGGGTCTCTGTAGTTTGGAGAAGAGGAGGCTGAGGGGTGACCTTATTAGTGTCTATAAATATATAAAGGGGGAGTGTCACGAGGATGAAGCCAGGCTCTACTCAGTGGCAAACAATGACAGGACAAGGGGTAATGGGTACAAACTGGAACACAAGAGGTTCCACTTAAACTTGAGAAAAAACTTCTTCTCAGTGAGGGTGACGGAACACTGGAACAGGCTGCCCGGGGAGGTTGTGGAGTCTCCTTCCCTGGAGACATTCAAAACCCGCCTGGACACATTCCTGTGTAACATTATCTAGGTGTTCCTGCTCCGGCAGGGGGATTGGACTAGATGATCTTTCGAGGTCCCTTCCAATCTCTAGCATACTGTGTGATACTGTGATACTGTGGTTTTGTTTTGGTATTTTGTATTTAATTGCTTTTAAATATAACTCTAATTTCTTAGAAGTTAAAGGTTAGTTTTCCCTAATCTTGACTGAATAAGAGCACAAAAAAGGCTTAAAGCTTGTCTAATTGGCATTGTGTGTAAAAGACAGCATCTACATATTCCTTAATATATTTAAGCTTCTCTTTGTTTAATACTCAGGCACCACAATTCCTCTCACCAAATTCCTTTTTGTAATAACAGGCC